GGCAGGGGAGGGGGGGGGGGGGTTTAGAGAGCAACCAAAGGAAAGGACTTGTATACATGAAAATTAGCATAACCAATGGACACAGACACTGGGGCAGTGGGGGCCTGACCTTGGGGATGGGAGTGGCCAGGGTGGGGTGTCAATAGGGGAAAAAGGAGACATATGTAATACTTTAAACAACAAACAAACAAAAGATATGTTAAAATGCAAGTCTCTCTATCACACTAAGACCAGTTTCTTTAATCATACTCTAAATTTCCTACTTGAAAGGTTCCAGAATTACTTTTATTCTTTGGTACATATATCCCAGGCTAATAAACATTCAGTGAGACAAAATATCCTTCATACTAATGTCAATTACTTATTCCAGATCTATTGACTTAACTATGCTCCCATTTCTGTTACTACATATAAAAGGTATGTACTATTCTCTAAGAATTTAAAATTAAGGTATTGCATAGAATCTGAATTAAGGATAGATTATTTTTCCAGTTAGAAATAAAGGAAATTATCTTATTCATGATTAAAACCTACCTCTCTAGCAAGCTGATTATAAGGTACAAAGGGGTAAAGGAAAAGAAGCAGAGACAGAGGCCAATACTGAGTGTAAGTAAGTAATTTAAACCTAAAAAAGGCAGTACAAAAGGTAAGAAAATTGACAAAAGTCTCTGTGAAAGGTATCATTGAGATTTTTATCTCTTTATATAGGCAATACACTTTTGGGACTATGAAGTCATACCCTCAACTGATTTCCAAAACCAAGTGACAAAGGTAAGTAAGGGCCAGTAATATTTTTTGGGTACCATGCACAAGTTCTCAAGTAACAAGTACCATGCACATTTCATGATAACTGCTCAAGAAATGTACAATCCACTAAAATAAGACAAATATAATAATATTAAACATTTTACCTTCCAATTTTAGCAGGGTTTACAGCTGTAATGATAAAAAGTGATCCTGTCTGCAACACTGGTGATCTAATAACAATTACTCTAATACAAGGGGGCCAAATTTTTTCCTCATCTGTCAAAGAAACAAGTGGGTAAATATTAACCAAATGCTATGGAAAAAAATTAGACATGTCTAGGAATAGTAGGAGGTATCCATAAAATAAAAATTTATTAATCAAAAGTCTTAATTCTGTTTTAAACCACCTTCTTAAATCCTGGTATGTATATGACATACAATTAGTAAGACAACACTGTTACCAATGTAAAGTGATCAAACTAAAGGTATTAGCAAAGTCAGCATATATCACAATTGTAAAATAACTCTCTTTTTTAAGGTCTTGGAATTTAAAAATGTCACAAACAAGTATGTTTATATTAAGTTAGAAGAATTGAGTCTACCCTTTTTAAAAATATAAGTAATTCCATTAAGAACAAAATAAACTCATATACCCTAATATGAAATCCTGGGTTTTAAAAGTATGTCTTTATATCCTCAAGTAAAAAAAAATAGATTTATATAATACCTATATAGTTGAATTCATGGACTACATTTTTTAAAGGCAATTTGCTCTCCCCCCTCAATTATAAATGTGTGCTATAAATATCTAAACCACTAAAACAGACTTAATACATACTTTAGGATTAGGGCATAGGTAACTTGGTTTTGTGTTCTATTGACGAGGCCATTCAATGCAATGAAACTTAAGGTTCAAGTGTTAGTCATTTAATTACATTCTACTCCCTAAGAATAAGAAATGTTAGCCCACAAAATTTTCAATGATGTCATGAAAATAATCAATTTAAAACAATGTTTAGCCGAAACTGGTTTGGCTCAGTGGATGGAGCGTCGGCCTAAGGACTGGGGGGTCCCGAGTTCGGTTCCCGTCGGGGGCATGTGCCTTGGTTGTGGGCATATCCCCAGTGGGAGATGTGCAGGAGGCGGCTGATCGATGTTTCTCTCTCATCGATGTTTCTGACTCTCTATCTCTCTCCCTTCCTCTCTGTAAAAAATCAATAAAATATATTTTAGGAAAGAAAAATAAAAAATAAAATAAAACAATGTTTAGTATTTGGCAGATACATTATACTAACATTTTTAACACTGTTGCTATGTTTACAATAACCAGACTGAGTTATTTGTGTAAAATTAAATAATAGTTATTTACTCACCTTCATCCTCAGTATCTTCTGCAGTTACATTGTCTTCACTGGTAATGTCTTCGTCATAACTGTCCTCAGTCTGAGAGTCTGTAATTTCACCTTCTTCTGGCTCACTATCAGTCTCTATGATTTTCTCATCTTTAAATGAAGTTGAATTATAGATGTTTTCATTAAGAGGAAATTCTATAGTCTTTCCGATAACTGGAACAGTGAATTCATGGGAACTATTTTTGTAATGAATGTCTATTTTGGCCTTCTTTTTCACATTTGCACAATCTTCTCCCTCACTGCAGTTTATATGTTCAACACTGGATGCTTTTTGATCTTCTGAATTCAAATCCTGGAAAAAGGTGGGTGGGGAGGATAATCTTAAACATGACCATCTTATAATGCTAAATGTTACAATGAATTAGTGTAGATATATGTACAGTGAGATAACAATAGCTATTATCTATACCCCCTTTTCTGCTCATGTTCCATTCTTGATTAAACTTATTACCATCCATTTAGCATCCAAATAAAAAATCTTAGTTATCTTTGACATCCCTTTAACCACCACATGAAATCAATTACCAAGTGGTACAGACTATGCTTACAATTTATCCCAATTCTCTCTTCTTATCTATTTTCAACATCCTAACTGTCACATATTATTTGGACCAAGTGACAGTCTAGACCTGTGGTCGGCAAACTGCGGCTCGCGAGCCACATGCAGCTCTTTGGCCCCTTGAGTGTGGCTCTTCCTAAGCCTTAGGAGTACCCTAATTAAGTTAATAACAATGAACCTACCTATATAGTTTAAGTTTAAAAAATGTGGCTCTCAAAGGAAATTTCAATCGTTGTACTGTTGATATTTGGCTCTGCTGACTAATGAGTTTGCCGACCACTGGTCTAGAGCAATGTTGTCCCAACAAAAAAATAATGCAAGCAATATTTATAATGAAAATTTTCTAATAGCCACATTAAAAAGGTAAAAAGAAGCAAGTGAAATTCATTTTAATACTTTATCTAACCTAGTATTTACAAAACATTAACATTTAATATATATTAATATTTAATCAATATAAAAACTACCAATGAAATATTTTACATAGGTTTTTTTGTACTATTTTCAAAATTGAATGTGGTTTATACTTACCAGCTATACTTCCAGTGCTCAGTAGCCACATGTAGCTAGACTGGAGGCTACCTTACTGGACCAAGTGAAGGCCTGGAGAATACATCTACCCTAAATTTTGTTTTGAACTTTTAACCAATTATCAAGTTCCATAAAATACAGAGTTGGCGCCGAAACTGGTTTGGCTCAGTGGATAGAGCGTCGGCCTGCGGACTGAAAGGTCCCAGGTTCGATTCCGGTCAAGGGCATGTACCTGGGTTGCGGGCACATCCCCAGTAGGACATGTGCAAGAGGCAGCGGATCGATGTTTCTCTCTCATCGATGTTTCTAACTATCTCTCTCCCTTCCTCTCTGTAAAAAATCAATAAAATATATTTTAAAAAAAATACAGAGTTGGCTTTCATTACAGCAGGGATTTTAAAATCCAAATGTACCTAATGTAGCAGAATAGTTTTGCTAAAATTTAGCACTTGATAGCCCAGCCAGGGTGGATCAGTGGTTGAGCGGTAACCCAAGAACCAAGAGTTCACCAGTTACTAGTAGATTCCCAGTCAGGGCACATGCCTGGGTTGCAGGGCAATCCCAGTAGGGGGTGTGCAGGAGGCAGCTGATCAATGATGTTTCTCTCTCATCAATGTTTCTATCTCTCTATCCCTCTCCCTTCTTCTCTCTCTAAAAATAAAAGCATATTTTTTAAAAAATTAGCACTTTATAGAGTTGATTTGATCATACACAACAGCTTAATGTACAGATTAATCAGTTATATCCCTTTTATTCCAAAATTCCAAATTACCTAGCATAAGCCTTTTATAATTTACTAAGGGCCCAGTACACAAATTCATGCACCTTGAAAGGAACTGTGGGCTGCGAGCCTGCAGTGGGCACAGGAAGTCTCGGCCTATCCTCCACGCCCCCATCCGGCCCTTCCTGCTGCAGCCCCTGGTCCCATCTGCCGGCATCCCCTCCCCCGCCACCATTGCTCCCACAAGCTGATGGTGCCAGCCCCACTCGTACCCGCTGATGGTGTGGAGCGATTGGGGCCCGCGCTGTCAGCGGGTGCAAGCAGCGGCTGCTGCCCTGATCACCCCTCAGGAGCAGGGGGAGGTGGAGAAGCCCTCAGGGGTGATTGGGACCAGCAGCTGCTGCTCACACCCGCTGATGGCACCGAGTGATCAGGGCCGGCACCAGGCGTCAGCAGCGGGTGCAAGCGGCAGCTGTGGCACTGGCAGCGGGTGCAAGTGGGGCTGGCGCCAGCAGCAGGTGCAAGCACCGGGAGGGGCCGTGGCACGTGGGAGCAAAGAGTTTTCGGTAACCACCAGAGGCTCACCCCAATGACAGCGACCGAAGCCCTGCCTTGGTCTGGTGCCCCGGGTCACCTGCTCCACCATCCCGCCAAGGCCAACGCCTGCCATCTTCTGCATGCACCCCTTGGTGGTCAGCACACGTCATAGCGACTGGTTGTTTGGCTGTTCCATATTTGGTCTATTTGCATATTAGGGTTTTACATATATAGATTATACAATAATATTAGGCATGCCTTTTGATAAATCAACAAATCTATTCTTTCAACCACAGGAAAAGCATAGAGTTATTATGTTCCCCTTATTTCTTTGGTTTGTAACACAATGAATTTTCTTTCTACCTTACAGCCACATGATGAAGTGAATTCATATATTCTTCTGTTATTTTATAAAACATGAGAGCATCTTAAACACATATTTTAACAGTAGCATAAATTCAGTTTGGAGACTGGCTCAGCACTCACAGTGTAATAAACTATATACACTTCCAGCACTACAATCTCACAAAGGACAAGAACAAGGGCAAGGAGCTGAACAACTATGAGCTTTAAAGGCCATTGTGAATTATAACAAAGAATTTTCCTATCTAAATATTCTTTTTAAAAAGCAGTTTCCAGCCGAAACCGGTTTGGCTCAGTGGATAGAGCATCGGCCTGCTGACTGAAAGGTCCCAGGTTCGATTCTGGTCAAGGGCATGTACCTTGGTTGCGGGCACATCCCCAGTCGGGGGGTGTGCAGGAGGCAGCTGATCCATGTTTCTCTCTCATTGATGTTTCTGACTCTCTATCTCTCTCCCTTCCTCTCTGTAAAAAATCAATAAAATATATTTTAAAAAATAAAAATAAAAATAATAAAAAATAAAATAAAAAGCTTTCCAGTCATTCTACTCTCCCCCTAAAAATCAATTGAAAAATATTCTCAGATGAGGAAAAATAAAAATAATAAAAAATAAAATAAAAAGCAGTTTCCAGTCATGTATTTTTTTATTACTGCTTATAGGACAGCATATGCAAGGGGAAAATGAGTGAAACTGCCGGAGGTGGGAAAAGGACCCCATAGGTGCATTCGTGCACTGGCCCTCTAGTATGCATATAATCTCTTCCCGCCCACACCCCCTGCCTTCTTCCCTCTGAGATTCATCAGTCTGTTCCATGTTTCCATGCCTGTGGTTTCTGCTCCTGCAATGAGCATCTGCCCCCTGGTGGTCAGTGCATGTCTTAACTACCAGCCACTCCACTGGTTGCTTAGGCTTTCATATATTAGTATATAGACAATAAGTTACCAGAAATGAGATTTTCCAATTAAAAAAAATATCAACATTTTTACAGTTATTGATACAACCAATCTATTTTCCAAAAAGATACCAATTTACACTACTAATGAAAATGTATCTACTCTATATTTGCCAGAAATGGATTTTTTTAAATGTTTGCTAACATAATATAGGTAAGAAATTGCTAAAAGTGACTTAGAAAGCAGAATTTTTATATACATCTACTTATAAACTATGTTTTTGTTTTATTGTGAATTGTGCCCTGACATCAACTTATCAACCAAGGGTTTGAAAGTTCTTCTTCCAAATTATGTAACTTAAGAGTACCTTATCTGCCCTAAATATACCTCCTTCCAACTTTTAAGAAATTCCTTGACTTCTAGTGACTGAGAATTTGTGAAACAGATCAATGTAAACAAACGCTCCTTAATTAATAGATTCTGATACCTTGTTACTCTAATGGATATGTTTGAAATGCAGCTACTGAATGATTTTCAGTTTCATCAAAAATTTTGACTTAACTACATCACCATTATGTCAATTTTAAAAATTAGAAGACAATACCTTTTCCTCATTTGCTGTAGAAGAATCTGGATCCTTTCTTTTCTTCTTCAACTTTTTATCTTTACTTTGTTTTGTGCCAGAAGTCTGATAAGGTTGCAAATCTACTCGAGAATGAAATTGATATCGACCACTTTCCACATCACAGTAGTAATAAATTCCAGTGGAAGGATCATAATATAGTTGATTTTCCTTTTAAAATCAAAACAGTAAGTACTATTTATGTAAGATAAAATAAAAAAATAAACAACAGAAATGTCAAACATATTCAAATATAGTAAATGTTTGTTTCTTTTAAGAACTATAGTATTTTCTGAAGATAGTAATTAAAAATATCACAATGAAAAATGCTTGGCCCTGGCAGGAGTGGCTCAATTGGTTGCGCATCATCCCATGCAGCAAGAGGTCACTGATTCTGTTCCAGGTCAGGGCACATGCCTGGATTGTGGGCTCAATCCTCAGTAAGGGGCAAGCAGGAGGCAGCCAATCAAAGTTTCTCTCCCATCGATATCTCTCTCACTCTCTCTCCCCACTCTCCCTTCTCCTTCCTCTCACTCTAAAACCCATAAAAACTTTTTTTTAAAAGAAAAATTTGTTATGTCCTTCAGTACAAAATATAGGTTTTCAAAAATATGTAATTTTTCAAAATACTTTATCATTCAATATCTGCTCTAATTTTCCTGGGGTGAAAAACTGTGAACATTTACATATTAAATTGAATCATAAAATTACCAACATTTTGCCGAAACCGGTTTGGCTCAGTGGATAGAGCGTCGGCTTGCGGACTGAAAGGTCCCAGGTTCGATTCCGGTCAAGGGCATGTACCTGGGTTGTGGGCACATCCCCAATAGGAGATGTGCAGGAGGCAGCTGATCGATGTTTCTCTCTCATTGATGTTTCTAACTTTCTATATCTCTCACTTCCTCTCTGTAAAAAATCAATAAAATATATTTTTTAAAAAATTACCAACATTTCACCACTTTTTTAACTTGCAGAAACAGCAATTTCATATGGTTCAACTTAATACATCAACAAAAAATTGTAACAAGAAGCCTTTTAGAAGTTATGAAAACTAAGGCATGTACCAGAAAAAGCTGAGCACATGGAAGCAATTACAGACTCATTATCCTTAAAATTACATAATAATGGTTTGGTACTATAAACCCCTGAGCCTTTTCTCAATGTCATAAAACAAAGATTTGCCTTTTAATGTTCATGACTAAAAGTCTTTTTTTTTTTTTTTTAGGGTAGGGAGATTCTAGAAAAGGCTGTGTTCAGGAAAGAAGGAGAAAGGCCAAAGAACCAGCAAACAAGTAGTTAGATTTTTTTTTTAAAAAAAAAGCAAAAAGGAAAGGAGATGTGGGGCAAAGCTGGGACATGTGGAAAGACAAAAAGGAGGCACATGTGATCCTCCAAATGGA